GCCTCCCTGCCTCCTGTATTTCCCACCCCAGCCTGAGAGGAGCTCCCGGCACCAGGGTCCTGCAAGGAGGCTGGCGAGGTGGCGCCCCTGGACCTGCCGCCTTCCTACAGGCCTTCCCATCGCCGCTCCTGTGCATCCTTGACACCTATTGTTGCCAGAACCACAGTTTCTTTTTAACCCACTCAGTGTTTCTTGACATTTAAATTATTTCCGTCTAACACGTAGCGTTAAAATATAATTTAGGAAACTCGGGAAGCAGGAGGAGGTGCGGGGAAGGGACAGAACTCTATGGAAAGTCCCCGAAGGCTGCCTTGTCAGGGCACACAGTCCCTGACGGCTGCCCAGTGCTGGCTGGCTGCCTCCCTAGCTGTTCCTCGCCACAACAGCGTGTGGCGTTGCAGGCCCAGGGAACTCCTCCTCGCGCCGGCCTTGGGCAGCCGCTGCGGCAGGATCGCCTTCCCCAATCCTGCCTGGGCCTTTCTGAATCCCAGCTGGGCGCCTAGTAAGAACTGACGCTTCTAGGCTTGTGGTCTCTGGCGTTGGAAGTATAGAGTTTATTACCTCCTACCAGGCCTTGAACCACAGAGTGACTTAAGTTAGTTTAGAATCCATAGGCGCCCAGACAGGAGGAGCCTGTGCCTGGATTTATCCCCGGGCTGACCCTTCTGCCCATGGGGGCTTGTGTGTGTGTGTACCCCTTCCACAATGCTCTTTCACACCTCTGTCTCCACTGCCCAAAGCAGGAGGCTCTGGAAACCACCCAGCCCGGGAATTCCGAGCACATAGAGAGGCTGACCTGTGGCTTAAAAGGTTGCAGAGGTATCTGCCTGGGCTAGCACGTCACAGGAGAAGCTCCCACCACAGAAGCCTACTCATTTTGAAGAGCATTCCCCCTCTTTTCAGGGCTCCCTTCCCAGCCCCCGCGTCTTTTCTTCCAGACCTTCCAGTAGGAAAGGCTGGAGGTGGAGGGCTGTGGAGAAAGGACTGAGGAGGCTCACTCACCTGCTTTCACGGAGCAGTGGATGTGTGCTTTCGACTCATAGTAGACCCAGTCGAAGCCTGCCTCCACAGCCAGGCGGGCCAGCATGCCATACTTGCTGCGGTCCCGGTCAGATGTGGTGATGTCCACCGCTCGGCCCTCATAGTGCAGAGACTCCTCTGAATGGTGGCCATCCTCATCCCAGCCTTCAGTCACTCGTAGCTTCACTCCAGGCCACTGGTTCATCACAGAGATGGCCAAGGCGTTTAGCTTGTCTTTGCACCTCTGTGGGGAGAAAGGGGAACCCTAAGTGACAGGCCTGAGTCCTCCGTCGGTGTTTTCTCCACCAACCACAAGCCAAGGACCCAGGGGATGTGTGAATGAGGTGATGGGGTGGAGGCAGAGCAGCTGCTGGAGGGGCGGGTTCTCCAGGGAACCAGCTGAGGGCCTGTCTCCAACCCAGAAACTTAGATGCAGCCAGAGAAACAGGAGCAGTTTCTCCTTGGGTGAGATTCCACGTTCATCTCTTTGATGAGACAGAACTCCTGGTGCACTCTAAGGGCTGGAAGCCCTGCTTTATCTGTGGAGGTCAGGCCTGCCCTATACCTGTCTGAGGAAACCCATAGCAACCCAAGGGGTGGGAAGCAGCCCAAGGACAAGCAAGCGGGTGAATGCCGATGTCCAGCACATGCAGGGCCGGAGGACAAACATTCCTGGTCCAGGCAGCCACATTCTTTCCCCTAAGGAGCTCTTCTCTGCCAGGCTTGTCTGGGGCCTGATTGTATTCGTGTTTTCTTTGACCGGTTCTCTTCCTCCCCTCTTGTTTTCTTGGCCCTGCACAGAATGGTGTCCGGCAAGTTTGAAGAGCAAACTTAAGAAGTGGATGGGGGTGGGGTGGGAAAGGTAGGGGGATGGGGAGCCAGAAAGGCCCAAGGCTTCTGAGCCCAGCCCAGGAGGGTATTCTGTGAAACTCCTGCCCTGCCTCCTCCCTTGCAGGACAGAGCGGAACTTGGGATAGTGGGGGCACTCCTGGCCCACATTAAGAAAAAGGTGTAATAAGAGAGCGGCAGCGGAGTCAGGTGTGTGTGGTGAGCCACTGAGTCACTGCTTGGAAGTTTATGTTGCTGATGGCAACATGCTGGATTGGGGATTTGTGGCTGGAAACCAAATAATAAGAACATATTACCCAGAGAACTAGACCCCAGTGGCGGCAGGAGGGTCTAAATTTTAAATTGACTTTTGCAGGGATCGCCTATGATCCCTCAGGCCGAGAAGATGGCTGGCAGGTTTCAGGGATGGGAGAATAGTCTGTAGATATAGCCGGGAGGGCTCTTGCAAAAGATTGTTGCCCAGGCCTTCATGGACAGACAGCTGCGCATCAGGAAATGCCCTGTATCTGGCAGCAATAAAGCTTAGGAATATGGTTGTAGAGTTAAACGTACAACAAACGGGAGGGGTGTAAGAACAACAGGTTGGCTCTGGCAGGTTTGCTTAGGAGAAAAGTCCGAAGGACAGAGTTGGAGTGAGGTCATCTTGGGGACTGAACGCGTTTTACATGAAATTCAATCAGTAAACCAGGGTCAGTTTAGAACTGAGATTCAAAGTCGTGTGCGCAGGCGCACACCACGGTACGTGCTGCTTATCTCCTACTTCATTACCGCCTGTACTCCACCCCGCTCCCTTCTCTGAGGAGGGGGAAGCTAGCTGTGTGGCGTTAACAAGCTTTCCGTCGCGCAGCAAGGGTAGGACGGAGAGGGCTCCGGAAGCCCGGTACCCTGAACTGCGCCACTAGGGCAGACACGGAGGACCGACCCCAGGCAAAAAACCCCGGCCCGAGACTAGCCCTCGACCCTGACAGACCAACGCCAATTGTCGCCCGAGTTGGCACCCGGTGCCCCAGAGTCCTCCCCGGCACCAGGCCCGGCGCGTCTCCGTAGGCAGATGCAGAGTCCTCCCCCGCCCGCGCTGGGAGGGAATGTCGCAGGCAAAGCCGGGAAGCTCAGCCCGGTTATTAATTCATTGGGTCGTGTGCCGCTAATCAAGCCCGACTCTGTGCAGCCACCGTGAAGCCCGGCAGGGTCACTGGGGCCCAGCTTTGTGTCTGCGGAGGCCAAGTTGTTCCTGAGCTCCCAGCTCACCTCCTGGATCTGCACACCAGCGCAGTCCAGGAGCTCAGAGCAGGCGGAGACTGTCCTTTCCAAAGGTGGGCTTCCCACATTGTGAGGGAGGCGGTGTCCCCCCCTCAAGAGACTGCTCTCGCGTCGCTCTTCTCCTAACTGGGAGCTGGGACAGACCCCACTCTTCAAAGCAGAAAAACAGTCTTGAAGCCCACCCCTGGGCTCCTCTCCCTGGCTAGCCCTAAAGCACGTAGGAAATTATTCAACCTGGCTCCTCAGGTGCCCCCCCCCCCCTTCAGCCTGCAGATCAGGCCCCTCGTGGCCTCCCGCCCCAGCCCCCTGGCCGCGGGCACAACAGCCTGGCACTCTCTGGGGCCTGGACGCAAGGAAAGTGTCTGTCTGCGCTTCCCTCTCCGGAGTTAATATTAACCAGGAGCTCCTGCGAGCCAGAACTGCTCTGAAAGTTCCACTGGGGACGATCCTGCCATGGTTGAGGGACTTGGGCGCAGTCACCTTAGAGAGACAGACTGGGAGGCAGGCGAGACTGAAGAGAGGGGCGCCTCGGCCCAGAATCGGGTGGTTGTTTGGGGGGGGGGGGGGGCGATGGTAGGTTCCCTGGAGAACGCGCAAACCCTGAGCCCCGGGATTAACCGGCTTCACTCTCTAGACCTCTAGTCTAGGAGTCTCGCTGCCTCCTTCCTTCCAGTTCCCTTTCAACTATGCCAACCCGGAATAAGAAGCTGGCTCGGGTTGTACCGAGGGGAACTTGTCAGACTGCCGCCTTTATAGCCGTCCTTATTTTGGGGGTATCTTTGCTGCGGGGGGAGGGTTGGTGAGAAGATAGACTCTGGCCTGGCCTTCCCCACCCCCCACATTTGCTGTCTCTACCCTCTCTTTTTGTGTTGCGAACCAGAATAGCCATTGCCCAAGGGAAAAAAGTATTTGTTTTCGTTTCGTTCCTCCGAAGGAACTTGACAGAAGGTCAGAAGTTCAAATGCTGCTCGCGCACGCACGCGGCGGCCGTGGCGGCGGCTAGAGTGACCGGGTGTAGGGCCGCTGAGCCGTGGGTCCCGGGCCGGAAAGACCGGCGGGAGGGAGGGAGGGGGCCTAACGGAGGGGGTGTGTGTCTGCCTTTAGGGTGCTGAGGCCGGAGGGGCCGGTCAGGCGGCGGGTTTGCAGCCTAGGTCAGCCCGCGGTGTTCCCTGTCTGGCGACTCCTCCCAGCAAAACCCCTGCCTGCGCGCCAGAGTGAATGAGCGCGCTCGGGAGCCCTGCGCCCCGGAGGGGCGCGCTCCGCGCGGGCGGAGTCGGAGACTGCCGCCGGAGCCTAGCCCCGCGCGCTGAAACCCTAGCCGCGAGATCGATAACGCAGGAGTAAGTGGAGCTGAAAGGCGTCTGCCGCGCGGCTCGGCGCTCTCACAGCTCCGCGGCCCTCAGAGGCCCGGCGCGCTGGGCTGGAGAGCCCGCCCAGTACCCCCTCGCAGACCCACCCGGGCTGAGGGACCGTGCGTATCCTCGCCAGGCCTCTTTGCTTGAGCATCCCCCCTCTCCTCACACTTCCCAAGGACCTTCTCACCCGAGACCCCTCCCCCCCGGGGGGTGGCAGGCTAACCAGGGGATAGGTGCCCGGGGTTACCAGGGAACTCGCTCCTGCAAGCTCTATCAGCCCAACGCCCGGCGGTCGGCGCAGAGTTAACTGTGACTCGCGCAGCCAACTGGCTCCCGCGCGCGCGCTCGCCCACACTCGCGGTCCAGATTTAAGGTGGTCGGGAGCAGATGAGGGAGATGGAGGGAGAACGGCTCTGTACTCAGCCTCCGCGACTCCCCTTTGCCCCAGCTCTGGCTCGCCACCCCAAGGCTAATTTCCCAGGGCCCCCCTAGCTAGCAGGTACCCGGTGACGAGCCGCACGACGCGTCGCGTCGCGCAGGCAGCTTCACTCTTGCTCTCTCCAGCCCCCGCCCCCTGCACTTGCGCCCCGCCAGCGCCGCTTCGCCAGCCGCTTGGCGCACCTAGCCCTAAAGGTAGGACTTGAATATTTTAATAGGGCAGTAAAAAGGATGCTGACCTATATTTGCAAGGAAACCCATTTCCAGCTTCAGTCATACGTGCATGGAGTTTCAGAAAGTCTCGATTTGGCTGGGAGATTGGCAGCCTAGAAATCTCAAAGGAGGTGGGATGGGAGAGTGGAGATTTTGCTTTGCCCTCCGTCCGTCCACCCTGGCCGCCGAATGTTTATTCGCTTCTAATTCTTATGCAAGCAGGTTGAAAAAGCGTTTGCAAAGCCAGCAAGTTCCAAGTCCCTCCCCTAAGGTACCGCGGGCTCTGGAGAACAGAGGAGCATCCTTAAAGAAATATCAATACATTCTCTCTGACCAGCACAATTGGGGACGACGGGATCGCAGTCAGGCTACGTGATACAGTGGGGACAAGGCGAGCGCCTCAGGAGCTCCTGCCTTTTGTCAGAACTGCCCCTGGCTTTCTCAGCTAGAGTTCTTTGGTGGTCGTGGGGTAAAGGGCGGGGTGGTCTTGGGAGAAATGTACAGACAAGGGGAGGTAGGCGCTAGGAGCCGAAAGGCTCCAGGCTACGTTGGCAGTGACCTGGAGGCCCCTTCAAGTGTACAGGGACAGCCCCACTCCGTCCATTTTCTGCCTCCACTTGGAAAGGGCAGACACCCCCAGAGTGAAGGTCTCTCCAAGTTACATGCTAGAACAGAGGCAGAGAGAGGAGGCCGTCCCGGGAGACTAACTGAATGGGACCAATGAGGGAGGGAACCCAATCTTCTGCTGCCCCCGCTCCACCCAACCCTAAACTTCCTGCTGGACCCTTCACCTCCTTTCTCCTCCCGGAAGAGGAGCGCTAGGTGGGCAGGTGGGTGGGGAGGGAGAGGTCAGGCCGCCTTCCTACCTGCCCAAAGAGCAAACAGAGCAGGGCTGACTGCTTGCTCACACATACCCCCCCTCCCCCGGAAAGCCGCCCGTCTCCCACCCGTAATGGGTCTCTACCTGAGTCATCAGCCGGTCCGCTCCCGTGTTTTCCTCATCCTTAAATATGATGTCGGGGTTGTAATTGGGGGTGAGTTCCTTAAATCGCTCGGAGTTTCTTGTGATCTTCCCTTCGTATCTGCCGCTGGCCCCTAGGGTCTTCTCGGCTACGTTGGGGATAAACTGCTTGTAGGCTAAAGGGGTCAGCTTTTTGGGGTGCCGCCTCTTTCCAAACCCTCTGCCGGGCCCGCACGCCAGCCCGGGGCACACCAGCAACGAGAAAGCAAGGACCACCAGAAAACATCTGGCCAGCAGCGGCATCTCGTCCGCGGAACCCGAGGACTTGCGAGCTGTCCCCGCGCGGTCTGTGCGCGAGCGGGTACGCGCGGGTGTGTGCGTGTGCGCTCCTCCTTGCGCTCGGCTCTCCCTTCCTCGCTCGGCTCGTTCGTTCCCTCTGGCGCTGCCTGGCTCTTTCTCTTCCTATATAACCTTGCCTGCCGTTGCTGCAGGGGACTTGTCTCCGATCCCCACCCAGACAGAGGCTGCGATGGCAGGCTGCCGGTCGCTGGTAACGGAACACATCGGAGTTGGGTCTCGAGACAGCAATTAAAAGACAAAAAGAGCCTGATTTTAAATGGTAGCAAGGCTGGAGAGCTTGTGAGACAGGCTGCCTTTCGCACTATATTATAGCTGGCAGGGGCGCATCTGATTGGCCAAGCCGCACAAGCTTGTCTTCTGATGTTAACCCTGAGAAAGACTACGTTGCCCCCCTCCTTTTGCTGCTGTGGCTTTATTTTCACCTGAAGGCTTCCAGTTTAAAAAAAAAAAAAAAGAAAAAAAGGTTTTTACTAAGGTAAAGGTGGGCGGGAGGGAGGAGGCCTGTTTACTGGAATGATACCCCGCACTGCCGGCTTTGTGTGCATGGCTGCTTCCCCCTTACTTTCTCTAGAATGGTAGATGCTTTGGTTAGAGCCAACATAAGTTTTTAAAGGACAGTCCAGATGCCCCCCACCCCCAAGCTTCAACCATCAAACATTCTTTTAATTGTTTGAAGGCAAAGCTGCCTCAGTCTTATTTACCTTATTTACACCCCCTCCCCCAGATGGGAGTGCACAGGCTAGATGAAAAAAAAAAAAAAAAAGCGAGCGTCTCCTGAATATTTAGCTTCTTTGGGTGAGGGTAATTATAAGTGGCCACTACCTAAAGCGGTGCTGTTTCAAGCACCTCAGAGAAACTTGAAAATACTGTCCTTCATTGTTTCAATGAATGCATCACACTCAGACCTCTGCAGATGGGTACATCTGAACTGATGGGCAGGTACAGAACAGACTGCAGGAGACATAGGCCCCATGGGTCTAGGTGTTGCACCTCAGCACAGAGACGGGAGGAAGCCAGACTGGCTGGTGTGTGCTTGGTGGGTGGAGGCTACCCTGCCTGGGGCAACTGAGAGTGGGCAAGGCTGCATAGGTACACCACCCCACAATCAATTCCAGCAGAGCTTGGGGCTGGCATAAGTTGGATGTGGCATTCAGGCTTCTTACCACAGTTGGCCTTCCTTGGAGCTTTGCAAGCCAGTCTTCAAGGCTAGAAGCTGGCCAGGTGTAGGGGCTACAGACCGAAGGGGTTAGGGACCTAGGGGACCGTGTTCTGACCATAGAGGGGCATCCTAGGAGAGGACATGCTGTCTAGAGGTCAGTAGTGCTTAAGTGTTTAACCATCTCTCTCTCTTTTCAGAAAAGAGAAAAATTTCAAGAAAAGTCTTAGTTAAGCCAGAGAAATAACCTGTGAAACTCCTTGTTTTTATGGATCATGGGCTTCTGCTCTGGCCCTTCCCCCATCCTCCTGAGAGGCAAGGATTCCTCTAGAATGGGCAATAGGGGTGAGCTATTCATGTGGAATGGAACACCCCACGGAGGACTGAATCCTCCAACACTACCCCATGGGACCAGCCTCTCTCTCCATCCTGTCCCAGTGCAGGGGAGAGGTCCAGCAAACCTGAGGCTCAACCCTTAAACAATGGGGTCTTCCAGAGCTTCCTCTTGCGTAGAAACTTGGTTGCTTTGGGGTTGGTGTGGGGACAGGGAGATGTGCTTGCTACTGTCTGCTGTGAGTCTCAATAGGCAGAATGAGAGAGCCTTGCTATCCCAGGGGGGAAGGGGCTGCCCCAAGCTTTTTCACCCCCCTCTCTGGATTGTCTGTCTTTTGATTTGTGAAGAACAAGTGCAGATTCTTGGTAGAAACTGGTCCCAGCTTTATGCAGGCCAAGTGGAGAGCTGGACTCTCTCAGCCTGTATCCTGTGTGTACATGCTCCCAAGAAAAATAGATACAAAAGGAACCACTGTTCTTGACCCAGGAGGGTGGGCCTACATGGTATATGGCTGTCATATCACTGGGTGGTGGTCCTGGGCCAGATAAGACCTGAGCATCCTGAAGCCTCATCCTGTCGCAGTCTTTTCTTGCTCTCTCTGCATGCTGGCCATCTCTTTTCTTAATGCCTTTGAAGCCAGACTGGTGAATGGATCCTGCACAGGAAGACAGATCTCAGCATCATATAGGGTGAGTGGATGTGATTTGGAAACAAACCCCTAAGCTGCCAGAGTTCCATGTGACCACAGCTGGGCTTGGAGTGCCTAGACATGGTCAGCTACCTCTGGTCTGTGGGGAAGGAGAGTGACTTGGTTCTCCACTGGCCTGTTGCCCGTCCCCCACTCCATCTCTAGGGACAAGGTATGCTAGTTCCAGAGAGAGCCTGGAGACTGGCCTTCCTGGAGACTGGGAGGATCTTTAGAAGAAAATAAAGGTTCACTACAAAGCCTGTTGTTTTCACCTTGTACCTTAAGGGCAGCTTCCTTCCTGCTCCAGGCTGCAAAAATGCTTAGATAAAAAGCAATCACAGTTAATATTTGTTGTCTCAAAAATTAGATCCTGAGCCTCGCCACGGGGAGAAATGCGGCCTTTATTCTCTGCCCCCTTCCCAGTGCGTTCCACCCACTCCCCACTTCCCAGACACCAGACACCCGCTGCCTTCCACCTACAGACACCAGATGGCTCCCTCTCTTTGCCTTTCCCCTCCAGACCATTTGGGCCCCTCCCTGTGCCTGCAAGAGGTTCCAAGCCCAGCCTCTGCCTGATGGGGCCAGCCATCCCCTTCACTCTCAGGGGCTATTCTCATTTGTCTAGGCTCAGCTCTTCTTCCGGCTGGACACTGCATCTCTCTCACACTTCTCACATCTTTTTGCCCACCTTTCTTTCCTTCAGCCTGAAGAGCACTGGCCAGCCTTTATGTCTGCCCCACCCCCCAGGAGGTGCAGTCCTGGGCATGGCCCCTTCCCCCTTCAGGCCCCTGCCGCTAGATGGAGTCCTCACTCTGCCTTCAGCTCTGGCTTGCTAGGTTTGGGAAATTCCGCAGTCTCCAGTTGGAAGGACCTGGAAGCAGGACCAGGCTCTTTGGTTCATCCTTGTCTTGTCTCTGCCACCTGTCTTTCCTTTCCAACCCTCACTTTTCTTTCCCTAGTTTGAGCCCCAGCTTGCACTTCCAGTCTTTGACAGACCTGGCCTCTTTTCTCTTCCTGGTTTCTCTCCCAGTTGATTTCTCTTCCTTACAACAGCTCTGCACCATCTCATTCTATCCAGTCACACAGTTAGTTCCATTTTCTTGGTGAATTTTTCTTTCAATTCTGGCAAATGGAGTTTCAGCTGTTCCGTTTTGTCCTCTGGGGTGACAGCTAGAAGAGAGAAAAACCCCACAGCCAAGGAGACACCCTAAGGCTAGGAAAACCACTTCTGTGTTAACAGTCGGAGAGCCACATGGCTGAGTGACACTGTGTCCATCCCTCTTGGCCCTTCGGTGGCCTCTGTGTAAGGTCTAAGCCAAGGGTGTTCCCTTTTGGGTCCAAATAGGTCTCAGCTCCATGGATCCTAATAGTCTCCAAGTGGTTTCTGATCCACCCTAGGGCCACTAGGACTTGGAAAGAGGACCTCAGAGTGGGCAGGTGGTCTTATGATCCAGAGGACCAACAGATGAGTCTGATGCAAGAG